GGAGAGAGATGGCTTTGACTCCTGGAGCAGTCACCAAGAACATCAGCCCCTTCCCTTCAGCTCTGCTCTTGTGCCGTGGGTGTGGGTGGGATCTTGCGAGATGGGGGATTAAATCACCCTGGTTTGATCTGTGTGTGTGGTGGGGGGTCACCTTTGGGGTCCTGCCTGCTCTGGCACAGAGTGACACTCTGCCCCTGTTTTTCTCCTCGTGGCAGCACCGACGTGTTCATCTGCACAAGCCCCATCAAGAAGTACCGCTACTGCCCTTACGAGAAGGTGAGCAGGTCCAAATCTCAGCTCTCCCTCCTGTCCAGGCTGCCCAGCAAAGCCAGCTGACCCCTAATATGCCTCCAACTGTAAAATGGCAACAATATTTCCCTGTTCCATCAGTTTTGTCCCTAAGCATCTTCACAGAGCAGCAGCTCCGCCATCAGCCGAGCTCTGCCATTTGCACTGAGGTTCTTGGTCTTAGGATTTCAACACGACATCAAAAGCTGCTTGGCTTTAAAAGAATTCATTCTCCAGCAGCATCCAAATCTATCCCACTAATGAACTTATTAAGAGAGGTATCATCCCTGTGTGAGGGCCAGGGCTGCTTCCTCTCCACCAAGCAGCCCCTGCCCCATCCATCAGCCTCCCTGAGCTCACCCCCTGCCTCTTGCCTTCCAGTATGCCTGGGTGGAGAAGCACTTTGGCCCTGAGTTTCTTGAGCAGATCGTTCTGACACGGGATAAGACGGTGGTTTCTGCTGACCTGCTTATAGATGACAGACCTGATATAACAGGTAAGAGGTGAGGGCTGAGGGAGTGCCTGGATGCAGCCAGTGATGGGTGTTGCTCCTTCCATGCTTGATTAGGCTCTTATCAGGGCTTTGTATCTTCAGGCTCTTCACGCTGGAGCAAAGACAACCTCAGTGTCTCCCAGAGTTGTCCAGAGCACTGACCTCTCTCCTTGCTTTGCAGGGGCCGAGCTGAACCCCACGTGGGAGCACGTGCTTTTCACTGCCTGCCACAACAAGCACCTGCAGCTGAAGCCCCCCAGCCGCCGGCTGCACTCCTGGTCCGACGACTGGAAGGCCATTCTGGACAGCAAACGCCTCCCACCCGGCCAGGCCACCTAAACACCGGCCTCCCACGGCCACCTGGGGCTGCAGCCACCCCCTCGTGTCCCTGTGGAGTCCTGCTGAAGGCCAAAACCACGGATGGACAGACAGACAGACGCTGTCCCTGCTGCAGAAAGGAAGAGGAGGGTGAGCTGAAGCACCACAGCCACCTGGACCTGGAAAACAGACCCCAGCCCAGCTGCGCCACAAGAGACCAGCAACAGGATTGGCCCTGTGGACCTGCCAGCCTGGCTGGGGGGCATTTCCCACTGGCTCCTGGGGTCTCTGTGCTACATCTGCACCCCCCACGAGGCCAGCCTGGTACTCCTGATGGACAAAGTCCCCCTCAGCGTGTCACTGCCCTTGTCTGGTGCAGTGCAGGGCACAGACCAGCTCTCTACCCTCCCCTCTGTGTTACGGTCAAGGATCACGTGGGTGGTTTGTTTTGTCCTCACAGGGTTTCGTCATCAGGGGCTGCCTCGGGGGGTGTTTCCCCTGCCAGTGCCTGGACCTGTGGAGAGGGGTGGCTGGAAGGGCTGGGGGAGCTGGTGGATGCTGCCCAGGCTCCCTGCACTGGCTCAGCTGGGCTGTTTCTTGCAGCTGATGCAATGGGATGGTTGCGTGGTTCCCTGCTGGAAGAGTCCCTGCAGGGGGATATGGGCACAGTACCATTCCTTCCATGGATCTGGCTGTGCAGAGAGAGTGTCACAACCACTTCCATGGATGCTGTTTGCAGTTCTCACATGCTGCAAGGGAAGATGTTTGGGTGGATGTTGCTGTTAAAGGCTGGGGAGCTGGTTTCAGCTGGGGTTGAGTTAATTTTCTTCACAGAAAACAGCCCCATAGCAGCCACTGTGAAGAAATTTAACTGTGCCAGCCAAAACCAGCACAGGAACCCATCAGTGGTGCCCACCAGGTTGTGTCACAGGGTCAGTTTGTTCTGCAGCTCCACCACTATATGTCCAGGGTCAGAGCATGTCCCAGCCACCACTGCAAGGTGACTGTGCTGGGCCTGCTGAGCTCTGGGAACAGCCAACACTGTTGGTGAGCACCAAAAAGGCAGTGTTTGGACCAAGGGACAGCTTCAAGAGGGATGCTTTTGGCATAGTTGTGCCCACATCCTCTTCCTCCCCTGTCCAGCTCGTTCCTGCCTGTCTGAGCCCACACCAGTCTGGCCTTGAACTGCAGCGACCTGTCTGGCACCAGAAGGCAGCCACTGCTGCTGCTTCTCTGCCCAGCCCCAAGAGAAAGGACATCCCAGCAGCTTGTGCTCCTGGCCCAAGGACTTGCTGGCTGCAGGAGCAAAAGCCCTTGGCTTGGCCCTCCCCTCTCTTTTTGGCTCTCCCCAAAAATACATGGGCTTAAAGCTACATAACCAACAAATAACCTAATTCAGCAGTGGCAGCCAGACCTCCCCGTCTGGGACCTGCAGGGGTTCTGGAGTTGATGCTTTGGAAGCTGTGCCCTCCCTGGCTGCTGCAGTGACGGGGACAGCCTACGTTGACTTGAGGCTTTCTGAAAGCAGTTCTTTGGGCGGGGGGAGTGTACAAAGTTGACATGGTTGGCCCAAGGTAATGGGAGTTACATACCACAAGCATCTTTTTTTTCTTTTTTTTCCTCTTTTTTCCTTTTTGTGTTTTTTTTTTTCCTGTTTAAACCACTGTGTGCTTCTCTGGGTGGTGGGTTTGCTTTGGGGAGGTACACTTGGGGTGTGCAGCCACCTGAAATGCAGCCCCCTGGCCAAGAGCTGCCTTGGATGCAGGGTTTGCAGGCTGGGAGCTGGGACAAGGTGGGAGCACCACGGGCAGCCCCCACAGCTGCTGAGCATCACAAACCCCCTCGGCTCCACCAGACCCCCACTGGCTGTCGGGCCCTCTGTGACGCCGGGGTTATGGGATCCAAGCTGTTTTTTTTCCTAAATGGTACCATATAAACATGAACTGCCCAAGCTCTCCAGAGCCTTCTCACTGCCCATCCTCGAGCCAAAACAAGCTGGCACATCGGTACAGCAGCTGCTCAAACCTGTCATCTTCCCCCAAGACTGGGGCAGACCCAAGGGACGTGGCTCTCCAGGGCCAGCGGGTCTTTTCCCTCTGCTGGGATATGATGCCAGAGACACCACACGGGTTCACACCAAACATACTTGAAAGGAGAGCTGGAGTTTTTCATGCTTGAGCCTCTGACTCGATGCACAGAGATCCTGAGCAGGTAACTGGCCTGTTTGCTCCCACCACACTCGGGACGGGGAGGTGACTCTCCATTGCTGATGGATCGGCCTGTTCATCGTTCAAGCCCGAATGTGTCCAACTGGGATACACAGAGCTTTTATTTTTGAATGTACATCTATAGACCTGGGGCAAATGAGGAGCGTTGCAATAAACACTGGGGTTGATTGTCATCCAACTACCTAGAAATGGAGTTCGGGTTTGTTGTTCCCAAGCTGTGGATCTGTATGGGAATGTGGGGGTCACTCTGGGCTTGGGAATGTCCCCCTTGTCCAAAAAACCTGGAACCAGCCCTGCTGCCCTGGCAGTGCCAGCACCCCATTAGACACAGTCCCTGTGGGCAGAAATGAAGCTGAGGGGTGGTTTTGGGTAGAGATCATCTTCCTTAAGATATTTTATAGTAAATAAAGCCATGAAGTGTGTCTTCTGTTGGGGCACAGAGCAGAAGCTATAAAAAGGGCTGGGGCTGTCACAGGCTGGCTCTCCTGGCGTTTTGTACCTTGTTGATCACTGCTGGGGGCCATAAAGCTGTCCCAGGGCTGGTTTGTGTAACAACCATCTCTTTGCCCTTCCAGTTGCTTCCTGGGTCTTCCAGGTACCGAGTGTTAAACCCCAATTGCTTCTCCATCCCTACTACCCTCACCCTGTACTGGAGGTCCCTGGAGGAGATGCTGTCCTTTCCAGGCACAGGGACAAGGGCAGTGGGTTTGACACCAGCTCTGCTCTGAACTGAGACTGCTGGCTGGTGGCACTGGGACCAGGACTACGTGTTTCCCAGTAAGAGCAAAGGGGAGGACCACAGATGATGGAGCGTCATGAACTGCTGGTCTGCAGGTGTGTCCCTTCCTCCATTCTCTCCTGAGTGCCTTTTTGTCCCTTGAAAAGCCTCAGGTTGCAGATATCACATATCTTCCAGATGACAAGCACAGTTTCCAAGGCAGGCAGAGCTGGAGAGGAGGGGGAGCGAGGTGGTGGTGACCTGGCCCTGAGCACAGGACATCGCTCCAGGCCAGTGCCGGTGGGAGCCTTCCCACCCTTCCCATGGGCAGGAGCTGCTGGGCAAAGGTGCAAGCATCCCCCTCCCTTAGGGGATTCACCCTGAGAGCATCCCACTTTGTCCCAGTGCAAGCTGGACTAAGCTTGCAGGATCTGGCAGGGCAGAAGCAAGTGATGCTCGCGCCTGGATCCCTTGGAAGCAGCTGCCACGCGGGTGTTCACGAGCTCTTCCTCACATTGGCTGATGCCCAAATAACTCCGAGTGGTGTGAAATCCCAGTGGAGGGGGAGAGCGAGGAATGCAGGGGCCAGCTGGGGCCAGCCCTGACGCAAGGGCAGCGGGTGGTGTGGGACAAAGCCAGGGCAGGGGACGGAGGGAGGATGAGTCACCCAAATACGCAGAAGGGGAAGGAGTGAAGGCAGTGATGGCTCAGCTGGCGGCAGCTGGATGGAGCTTTGATCCTGCCACCATGCCCAAATTTGGGAGAGGAGTGGAATGGTACCCCAGGGCCACTGCTGGGGTCAAAGTTTGGAGCCCTGTGGTGCCCACACAGTGTGGGCAGGACATTCATGTCGATGGAGTAGGAATATCCACTAGAGGGGACTGTGTGATCGCGTGTGGGAGCATACTGCTGCCAGCCTGTGCAAAGCGGGACGTGGCCAGTCCTCCTTCCAGCCCTCAGCCTTCTCAGTTATTCCAATGCCTTCTGCATCCCTCCCTCTGGGCACTGAAGCCCGGGGGGGTCACAGCTTACTGGGACCAAATGGAGCACAGTGGGGTGCCAAGAGGGATCTGCAGCTGCAGGCACTGGGAAAACCATAGGATCATGGAAGGGTTTGGGTTGGAAGGCGCTGTAAAGACCACCTAGTTCCAACAGAGACACCTTCCACTAGGCCAGGTTGCTCAGAGCCCCATCCAGCCTGACCATCCAGGGATGAGGGAGTGTGAAACGTGGGACTGGGGAAATGTGGGAATTGGGAAATGTGGGAACTGGGAAATGTGCTGGGCTGGCCTCTGCCAGGCTGCTGAACCCCCCCCGGCCACTCGCTTACTTCCTCCCCAATGCCATGGGGCAGAGAATGGGATGGGCAAAAGCATGAACAAGTTGAGGTTTAGAAGGTGAACTAGGGGTCTGTAGGGTCCACATAGAAAACCACAGGCTGCAGGCCCCTGACTACCCAGGGCATCCTTCTTCCTCCTCTGGGTCTCCCTGCTCAGCTCTGCCCCTGCTTCCCCCTGGGATCCCACAACTCTCCCAGGGCTGAGACTGCTCGTCCTGTCCCTGAAAGTCTGAAATCCCCCAAGGACCTGGGACATTACTTTGCCTTTTCCACTTGCTCACCCTGAAGCCAGACCCTGCTGAGGGGAGATGAGTGGGGGCAGAACTGCTGGTGGGGAGGACAGGCAGAACGGGGGGGGCTCCTGGTGGTTTCCGCTTGCCCTTCTCTTCTACCCCAGCACCACAATATTGTTTCCATCCAGGCTGGATTAATGGGATTTGCTTCTCTATTCGTACACAGGGACTTAAGTAATGCACTCCCCAGAGAGGAATCAACTTCCCTCACCCCAGCAGTGCTAGGGAGGCCAGAGCAGTGCCCATGTTGATAGGCTGCACCAGCTTTCTCCTGTCCCTCGAGGCTCCACACACATTAAGCCCGTCCTCCTGGCAAAAATCTTGCAAAATGTTTATTTGTGACTATGTTAACAAACATGCTTGGGGAACATGTTGTATTTAGATGTGAGCATGCCACCTTCTCCCTGCCTCCCTGGGGCCAGGAGCGTGGGCAACGCGGGGCCAGGGCTCACAGCTGCCAAAAACTGGCTGACGCTGCGCCCGGAGCACCGCCGGGAGCGGCAGCCCCGGACACGAGGCCACCTCGCCTCCTGCTCCCACCAACCACCAAACCTGCCAGCAACATTCCCACTGGCACATTTTTCCTGGAGGTTCCCAGCTCATGGCTTTTTCCTGGAGGTTCCCATCTCACGGATGCAGCTGGGGGAAGAGTCTGACCACAACCTCATGGAACCCTGGTGTCCTGCAGCTGCTGGCACAAGGACACGAGGGCTCCAGGGATCCCGTCCAGCTCCGTAAACACCCGTCATAGGGGAGGGCACTGGTGTCAGGCCACCCCATGGGCAGAGACCAGTGGAGCTGAGCTTGCACATCCCACTTCCATGAGCACCCTTGACAGGTCTGAGCTTGTCCCCATCCTTCGCCCACCTGCTTCTCCTCCTCTGGTGGGTGTCAGAAATGATCGTGGGATGGAGAAAGTGTCCTGGGAGAAATGGTGCTGCTCCTTTCCAAGATCAGACTCACCCTGAATACACACTGTTTTAAACCCTAACTTGCCAGATTTATGGGAATTTGCCTCGGCTGTGTCTGGGTCCAATCCCCCACATCTCAGAGTCTGCATTCGGCATCCCTGGGTAGCTGAGGATGAAGCTGGGTCTGGTTTCCCGAGATCCAGGGGAGGGA